AAAAAACAAAAAAGATATATTTACATACATTACGTTTGAGGGAAATGTAAAGTGATATATCTTTTTTGTTTTTTACAGAAATGCAAACTGAGAACTTCAGGTTTTCTGCTGTTTGTTGCTGTTTGTTGTACGCCAAGTTCTGCAAAATTGTTCCATTTTATTACGTTTCATGCAAAGTTTTTTGTGAACAAATACACTTTGAATTATAATTGATAAAATACAAAATTAGTTTCTTTGTTTAAATTTAATAAACATAAATATGAATTAAACTGCTTCACTCCTGTATTACAGATGTTGAAAAACAAAAAAGATTTCTACCGACAAATGTGCAGTTAAAGGATAACAAATCAATTCTGCAGCCTCTTTTTTTTTTTACCTATAGTGTCTTTTACATCATTTCTCATTTATCCATCTAGTATTTTATATTTTTGTTTCTAAACTAAAACTTCATACACAGACTTGGCCAGGTTTTATTATACCGAACATACCTTGTGAAGTGATTTCGAGCCTTGACGTTCAGCGTTGTTGAGCCGAAGAGTGAAAGTGATCACCTCTAGAACTTTAGCTGCAGCAGCTGAAGATGGAGTTTATTCTGCAGGTGCTTTATATCACAAAGGTCTAAGCAGGAAACAGGAGGGGAGAAAAAAAATGCATAAAAAGCAGAAGAAGCAGAAACTAAAACCACATCTCACCAGCTCTGTTTCTGTTCGCCTCATCTGCTCATCACTGATGTGGCTGTTTTTGATCTAAAACTTGTTTTGGTTCTTAAACACATTTTGTGATTTTTGCAATAAAACAGCTCATATTTTTATCATTCCTTTAGTGTCCAGGGGTAAGGAAACCCCCCATGTGTTTCTCCACTCTACATTTCTTTGTTGTTTTACTGACAGTGCTGTGATTTTGTTTCTGAAATTTAATTTTCTAAAATAATAATAAAAATTGATGTCCTCTTAGAGCTTGATTTGTGGGAAACTCCTGTAAACAAAACTAAATGTTTTCCTATTAATTAAAAAGGGATAAAATAATGTGACTGAAATTGTAAATGGTTATCAACTTATGTCTGTCTCTTTTCTGTCTTAGATGGTGTCAACCTCAAACCTGATATGAATTTGATTTTTAGAGTTCGGTTTAACGCTTGCAACTCATTTTATTTCTTATTTTGTTTTATTTTATTTATTTAT